TTTATATATTTATATATATAAATAAATATTTATATGTATGTGTATATATATGTCAAATTCTCTGATTTTAGAAAAGTGAAAGATGTTTTGTCATTTTTGAAATAGGCCAAAGAAAACATATAAAAACTGAATTTTCCCTTAAATAAATCAGATTATTTCATAATTTTAATTTTAAAATCCAAATCATTTTTAAAGCCCATTAGCCAATTTTAATTTGAAGCAAATGAATGTACTTTATGTAATGTTGCTGTAATATTAATATCTACTTTTTGGTATTTGTATGCATTGAATTAATCTTTTTGGACGGCTAGTTATTTATTTGTTTTTGAATTGAGNTGTTATTTATATATTTTTAAATTGAGTTACGTTAATTTGTAAAAGTTACGAATGAACATGCCATAAATTGTATTTATGTAGTGTTGATGTAAATATTAAAAAAATTTAATTATGGTACGGAACCGAACCGACCCGAACCGAACCCGAACGGTTCCATAATTATATTTGGACCCGACGATTCCATTTATTAAATACCCGAAAATTTTGGATCAATTTGGGTCTCTTCAGAATCGAATCGAATCGATCCACGAACAGCCTTAATCAAAATTATCAACAATCAAACTCTGGTTAAAAAATATTAATTTGATTTGTACTATAAGACTTGTTAAAGATTATGCCCATTTTTTGCCCACATTAAATTTTAATTCATTTTTCTCTCACCTCTTATCAACCATACATTCTCTCAATAAAATAATATTATACACAAACTCAAAAATTCTCCTTACTTTTTAACCACACATTCTTCAAAAATACTATTCCAAAATCATTTTTTTTTTTCCAAATAATGGAGCTCAAACAACATCTATATTATATAAACAAAATATTTTTTCATTATCTCTAGTAGCTTAAGAGTAGTTCTAGTATCAATGGTGCTTAGTGCCCACCTAAATAGCATAGAGGCCAACTTTAATTTCTCCAATGAAGACACTTTGAAGAGCAATTGTATCTATCACGAACGGTGTTTAACACCCGATTAGTGGTAATGGGACCATCTTTAGTTATCCCGTGAGCACAATTAAAAGATGGACTCTAGCTAGTGCCACAGTTCGGGTGATAAGCACCATTAATGCTAGATAATATTTTTCTAGTTAGGATACAGTTGGCTCAATAAAAGCTGTGAGAGAGAATATAAAAGTTATAAGAGACGTGTGCGTATCATACCATCCTTGGAAATTTTGAGTCAACCTTTATCAGTTGAATTAATTTACGAAGAGTCGTGTTTAATGGTCAAATATTACGAGAAGGGTCCTTTCGTAAATTCATTGAGCTTGTCTGTAGTCATTTACCCCATCTCTTCCCACGCTCACACATCTACAAATACACAAACCTAACGCCTTCATACAGATACACACACATACATAGAGAGAGAGAGAGAGAGTAGCCATGTCAATCAGAGAGCAAGAAAATCCACATAATTACAATGACAGTGATGATTCTGATACTGAAGAAGAAAGTGTAGAAGTAGAAGAAGAGGAGGAGGAAAAAAATTCTGCCGACTGCAGAACTTTATACGGCGATCGTGGCCGGAAGGGGTGGTGGTTCTGGGGAAAAATCCTGGACCCCAGGGCCACATGGATTCAAGAATGGAACAGAATTTTCCTCTTAGTATGCGCCGCTGGTCTATTTGTAGATCCTCTCTTCTTCTATACCCTCTCAGTAAGTGAAAACTGCATGTGCCTCTTCGTCGACGGGTGGTTCGCCATGACCGTGACGGTTCTCCGGTGCATGACAGACGCCTTGCACCTCTGGAACATGTGGCTTCAATTCAAAATGAACAGGAGGCACCACCGTGCCATATACGCCGGCCACCGGACCGTTGCCCTGCGATACTTCAAGGCAAACAAAGGTTTCCTCTTTGATTTATTTGTGATTCTTCCAATTCCACAGGTAGGTAATTTTTCTTGATGCCATTTTCTTTTTCTGTGTGTTTTAGAAATTTAGAAACATCATTATCAAGAATCCTGGTATAACAGAGATGCTGCCAAATTGAAAGGATATCATTTTGGTTTTTAGTGCTACTGAGGTCAATAATGCGAGAATGTGACAAAATCATGCATGTCATGCAGTAATTTCTTCGCATGCAGCCTCACAGAACATGTGGTACCAGAAGAAAAGTAAAGCTTGGATTTTATTTGGATTGTAAAATCATCTTCACCAAAATACTCACTTTTTTCCCCCTAAAACCAGTATTTTTTTTAAGAAAAGGTTTAAAACATTGTTTTTCATTCTTTTATAATTAAAAAAATTCACTAAATAAATAAATTACAAGTTACAGGATACATTTTTTATTTTTTAACAAATATGAAACAGTAGGAAAAGACAACTTTTTCACACCCATTGTTATTTATTTTCCTGTTGATTCAACTGATAATTGAATCTAGATAAATTATAAGTTAAAATTAACAATTAATTTTAATCACATATTTTATGAATCCAAAATTTTCACGAAGATAATTCATCAATTTTTATGAAAATATATTAAAACACTTATTTTTAGCTACATAGTGGGTATTTGGTGGGGATTAAATTAGATTTTTAGCAGATTATGATAGAAGTTTTTGAAAAGTGTGGGACCCATGAAAGATGTGGTTAATATTGATTATTTGACTTTGATTTAAATTAAAATCTGATTTTAATCTGAAACAAAAAGGGCTAAATTTATATAGGGACTTAATTTTATTTGATCTATGCTACTTAATCAGTAATGCCAAATCTTTATGCTCAAGATCGTTGTTTTACGATGGACTTAAGTTGAAACCTGAAAGCAATTAATTAACATTTTCAAAATAATAATAATAATAATAATAATAATAATAATAATAATAATAAACTCTTATTTCCCTTCAAAATTGTAGAAAATTTTACTTATCAAAACCCTATTTTTTTCATTGGAGACAAGATTTCATGAAAAACCTTAAAATTTTCAAAGAGTAAGAAAGACTTCTCAGCCAAAAGGTAAACAACCGCATAAAATAAATACTAATGTTTAATCTAGAGATTGTTATTAAGCCTCAGTTTGGTTGAGATTAAAATCAGATTTTTAATAAAATTTGATAGAAGTCGACGAAATGTGTGGTTAAAAAGTTGTGAGTCTCATGAAATGTTGTTGACTTTGACTTGAATTAAAATTTTAATTCTAAGTTTCACCAAACAGGGGCTAAGATCTTGGGTTTTATCGCAAAAGGTTAATCTTGTTAAGATGAGTAAACGAATCTTGAAATTCGTGTTTCTTAAAATATCTACATTATTAAGATGAGTAATCCAAATATTTATATATTGATTATCATTAATCGATACGAGATTTATCGCTTAACACTAATTCATATTGCAGATAGTTTTATGGGTGGCGATCCCAGAGCTATTGGGGAAAGGATCGACGACCGTGGTTATGACGATCCTCTTGATAATGTTTCTATTTCAATACTTACCCAAAATATATCACTCGATTCGGTTGTTGCGCCGCATGCAAAATCTCTCGGGATATATGTTCGGTACTATTTGGTGGGGGATTGCCCTCAACATGATTGCTTACTTTGTCGCGTCGCATGTAAGTAAAGCTTACTCTATCTCAATTACAGAGCTTCCAAGAATATTATATATTCTTTAGTCTTATAATTGAGTTTATTAGTGCTATAATTGTCTACAAGAGAACAAACAAGTTACATTAGTTAGGACACGTAATCGAAAATTATTATCAAATTATTGTAATTAAGTTTAAATAAGTAGTTAATGAGATTTATTATTGGTTATAAGTTGATAATTATAATTGCATAGCCAGCTACTTTTTGTATAGCCAGAGAGCCATATTTAAATATTAAATAGCATTACGTTTCATTTTCAAGACTTCCATTAGGGTCCGTTTGATAAGAAAATGTGGAAAGGAATTTCAAGTCCATGTTAATTGGAAAATAAAAGTCCACCAAACCCACAGAAATTCGTTTTTCATGAAAACAAAGAAAATACAATTTAAAGTGATTGTACGTTAGAATTTGGTTTCCATTTCTGCGTTGTAATCAAACGACCAAAGTGAAATTCGTTTTCCTCTGTAACATTTTTTGTGGAAAATGTGAGAATCAAACAGGGACTTAATGAAGTTTAGTTATGTGTTTAATATATTGAATTGTACATAACTGAGTAGAATTAAAGAAAAATTTACATGAAACAAAAATTATTGCTACATGTCAATTGCCCCCAAAACCCACACCCTTGCCAGATTTCTTAATGGTTTTGATTATTTTGGGTGGGACCGTGCATAAGGTTAGGAAAATTAGCGTTTGTTAGTTTTTTTGAATATTGTAATTTGAATTGTATTTTTCAATCCATCAAATCGATGATTTTTTATCGTTTTTCATTTTTTTCTCCAAATTTTATCCTCCAAAACAATTATTTTCAAATCTACCCTAAAAATGAATGAAGCTTGGACAATTATTTCCGATTTTTCGTTCACTTTCACCATCTCTAAAACAATTATTCAAATACATACCTACCCTTTTTATATATGATATGAGCATGTGTAATTTAATTCTTTAAAAAAAAATTCAAAACTATTGAAAAATAAATTCTCAAGCATGGATTAGACAGTTTTTAAAAAAATCACTCAAAGTCGAATCCTTCACAGATGCCTAAAATCGATACTTTAAGAAAAATCATAACCGGTACGCCAAAACTCCCAAACACCTCCTTAGAGTTTATTCATTTTTTTCCTTTTTTTGTATAAATCACCGAATTTGTTTATCCAAATTACTGAATCCAACCAATTTTGTCTATTATAATGTTTAATCTTAAGTTTGACAGGTTAGAAATCCATGATAGTATGTTTTGTTGTGCTTAAAAAAAATAAATTTACTTTGTTTCTAAGAGGTACCTACTTTTTTCTTACTTTTAAGTATAAAAAGTTATTTATTTTGAAAGTAACATTAGCTCATTGTTACAATGAATAATTTACTTATTTTAATGAAGTAACAAGTACTCGTTTTATAACTTATTTGCTTATAATCAAACTATTCAAAGTAGTGAATCTATAATTATAGGCTGTGGGAGCATGCTGGTACTTGCTAGGGATACAAAGGGCTGCAAAATGCTTAATGCAACAATGCATGCACATAAAGGGCTGCAACAGGAGAATGATGGCATGTCAAGAACCAATATATTATGGAACAAGCCGTTTAATTAAAGAAAGATCAAGATTTATTTGGGGGGAGAACAAAACTGCAAGGTCTACTTGCCTCGAAAATTACGATAATTTCGATTATGGAGCTTATAAGTGGACTGTTCAACTTATTACAAATGATAATCGCTTGGAAAAGATACTATTTCCCATATTTTGGGGTCTAATGACTCTCAGGTAACCACTTGTTTATTTTCATTGTCTTACAATAGTTAGCATTTTACCAGTGTTATAATTAATGTTCTGAATGAAATTTACAGTACATTTGGGAACTTGGAGAGCACAACAGATTGGTTAGAAGTGATTTTCATTATCATTGTTCTTACCACTGGACTCCTGCTGGTCACAATGTTGATTGGTAACATCAAGGTACTTAAAAATCGACTAGTTGTCGCGATGATAATGGATTGATCGGATTTTGCCTCGTGTCTTTTAATTTTCGTTAACAATGCCAGGTGTTCTTGCACGCAACGACATCAAAGAAACAGGCAATGCAATTGAAGATGCGGAACATAGAATGGTGGATGAGGAAGAGACGATTGCCTCTGGCATTCAAGCAAAGAGTAAGGAACTATGAAAGACAGCGATGGGCTGCAATGCGCGGAGTAGACGAATGTGAGATTACGCGTAATCTCCCTGAGGGACTTAGAAGGGACATAAAATATCATCTCTGTTTGGACTTGGTTAGACAGGTACTTAACTAAATCATTATTTAAAGACACCGTGTCATAGGTAACATCATGTTTGGTACATAATACTAAACGCGGATTTGCAAGTATTTCAGGTTCCTTTGTTCCAGCATATGGATAATCTGGTCTTGGAAAATATCTGTGACCGTGTGAAGTCCCTTATATTCACGAAGGGAGAAACAGTGAGTTCTAACTCTTAGCAGTCATGATTTATATTCAGGGTACTAATTCTAATAGATCTTCTTCTGCTTCTCTATTGAATTTAAGATAAGTAGAGAGGGTGATCCAGTACAAAGAATGTTATTCATAGTAAGAGGGCATCTTCAAAGTAGCCAAGTACTTCGAGATGGCGTAATGAGTTGCTGCATGTTAGGCCCCGGAAATTTTAGCGGGGACGAGCTCTTGTCCTGGTGTCTGCGAAGACCATTTGTTGAACGCCTTCCGCCTTCTTCCTCGACCCTTACAACTCTAGAAACTACCGAAGCGTTCGGGCTAGAAGCAGAGGATGTTAAGTACGTGACTCAACATTTTCGGTACACATTTGTGAATGAAAAAGTTAAAAGGAGTGCGCGTTATTACTCGCCCGGATGGAGGACTTGGGCTGCTGTTGCTATTCAGTTGGCCTGGAGGAGGTACAAACACAGGCTAACACTCACTTCTCTGTCATTTATTAGGCCGCGACGACCAGTATCGCGGTGTTCTTCTCTTGGGGAGGATAGGCTGAGGCTTTATACAGCACTTCTAACTTCGCCCAAGCCAAATCTAGATGATTTTGATTTCTGACACTCTTCAAAAATTGTGGAGGAACATTTGCATGGGAGATGCTGATTTCTGGAATGTAACAGTTTAAGAAATCAAGGATGCTGTGAAGGAAACTGACTCAGAGTTTCAAATCTTGGTGCCATAGTGCTTGTGGCATTGCCTATAACGAAGGATGAATAATGCTATCTATCTAGACTGCTGATTATTAGCAGTTTAGGTATCGGTTATGTATGAAATTAGGTGAATGTACCTTGTAAAGGGATCATAAATACCATTATTCATAAAGAATTGATGCCGTTAGAAAAATAAACAAAGCCCTCGTTTATTTTTAATTTTTCGAGAATTACTTCCCTCTCACACTAATTTTTAACTATACATTAAAAAAAAAAAAAAAATCACTTTTCACAGTTTCCCATTATTTTTCTTCACCTTTTAACCACGTATTGATAATAAAATCAATTTTCAAATATCCACTTCTGAAAAAAAATCTTTATCAAACAAGAGGAAAGAGTAATGCTAAATAATCACAATTGATCTCCTAATCATCGGTACTTAGCCTGCTAAGCACCTAGTAACGTGACATGCAACAATAGGTAGTGTAATCAGTTTTGTAATCAATCATTATCTCTCACCACATATTGTAGCATGTCACGTCACTCGATTCTTAGGAGATGAGTCCTAGCTAAATAATAATGATGGTACTAATTTATGTGGAAGCAAGTGCATATCACATTGTTCAATAAAATTGTAATGCATTTTTAATTATTGGGTAGTTGGCAATTACCCTCACTAGCGCCTAAACCGGTCGAAAACACCACTAAGGTTACAGAACGGTACACGTTGCAGATATGGACTCCACTGCTACCGAGACATAGATTTGTCACTCATGACAATACATATCATTACTAATGGGAATTAATAGTGATATATGCTTTTAGGGATGGTAATGAGACAAGATGGAACGTGCCACAGGGTGCGCACTTTTTGCTTTAGGAGGTTCAACCCTACATGTTTGTCTACTGACTGTTCATATATTTTTTTATTTTTTTTCTATAAATTTGAGGATAATTAGTTTGGGTTTGAGCATAAAAAAGTTTTACTTAGATTTTTTTTTTTTTTTAAAGGAATGAAATTTTAAAATATTTAGTTAATCGGGGCGAGCGTCACTGCCAATTGGAAGGGGGCATTGCATAGCTCGAGTTTTTCGGATCAAATTGTCATCCCTGCGTGCTCTTGTCAAGTCCCTTTAGTGGAGGATATGCTTATTGATCGAGGATTAATAAATAAAATAAATATAGCATTATTTTTTTAAAGGGACTTGTTCATTAGGTAATTCTACGAGGTTAAATCCACGAATGGTTATCCAATTTTATATTTAGTGTCACTATGACCACTCAATTTGATTTTATTTTACCAAGGTCATCCAATTTGATAAAACAGTTCACAATGACCACCCAATTTCTTTTCAACATTTCTACCAATTTTAAAAATGGGTAAACCGGTACATTTGTATTATATATATAATATAAATTTAAAAAAAAAGAAAAGTTTCTTTTTATTTTAAAAACTTTTATTTTATAAGTCTTCGTGTCAGGATAAGTCACCGACTAAAATCTGCCACAGGTGAATTCCAATCTTGCTTTGTTGGCAACTACTTCGATTTTTTATTTTTTATTTTTAAATCTATTCAACCATAGTTTACGCTAATCAATCTGAATGATAGTAATAACAATGAACAATGACCTTGTTACGCATGAAATAAAATTATAATGTTCTAAGAACTATAATAAAATCACTATGAATACTGTTGGATTTGAGACCAAATTTTTATTTGCTCACAAGACCTTTAATAAGTTAAATATTAAGAAGACGGAAAAAATAAATTATATAGAGAAAAACAACACAAAGATTTATGTAAGTGAAAATTTCCAAATCCGAAAAAATCATTGGTCGGAAAAGAGATTCTAATGTGAAAATTTGTTAGTCGATTTGTCTCGTAAACAATAACTAGTTCGAGAGTTTGGAAATTGTAACATCGCGTGCTTATTTATCGTGATTAGCATGTTTGTCTTGATTATATCTTCCTTGTGACTAACTATCACTTTTTAAATGGTCGACGTGCCTATTTGTTTAAATTTCATACGTTAATAGTTTTTGCATGTATATATTAAATTATACAATATATTTATCTTATTATGTGATTTTATCTTTTAATTTACCTAGACTTATCCTTAGAAATACCAGTCATTCTACATTAGAAAAAATAATTTGATTTGATTAACAACTAATCAAGAAATTGGGATTTTTACCCGGATTTAAATGGGCTTATAATTAGCTAATTAATGTAATTATACTCGCATAGATACATAGGGTAAAAGTCAAAAAAAAAAAAAAAAACGAAAGAAAACCTTATAAAAGAGAAGAAAATGATCACAGTTGCATTCGTACGATGCATCGTATTTATTTTCTACTTTTTCATTATGTGATATATTATTCTTTGGATCTTGTTAATGAATTACATTATGCCACATGACACAATACTTTTTGTCAGTTTAAAATATAATCAATTTTTTCCTCCACATTATTTTTGGTAATCGTCTATGTCCATTTCTTTATCTACAGTAGCAAAATCCTTATCCCTTGCACACGCGTTTGTGTGCAAATAAGTATTTGTATACTCGTGTTGTTTTGTCTACTTGAAATCTTAGCCCGACCAATAATATTGAAGGAATTAATGTATATTTTGTATTTGATATTTGAAAGAATTGTTGTAGCATGGAATTTTGGTAAGTTCACAATTCTGATGTCCGAGTTATGTAATGAAACAAGAATTTGGTAACTTTATCTATTCTGACTAGGAAATTAATATTACAACTCCTCCTTCCGAAGCACGTCTATATAAGTTTTCAACCAATGCAAAACCTAACAACATCATTCTCAATCTCTACACAAGAATAGAATTGAGTTTCTTTTCAATTTTATTTCAACAACTTGTGCTTTGAACAATGGAGGAAAAGAAAACGAGAATGAGGGAATTGACAGAGGATGATATGGTGGGCGTTAAGTCGAACGGTAATCGGTTCATGATCGATTTTCTGAAGAATGTTACAAAACGAGCTGCAGAAATATTTGATAATGAAGTATTGTCTGGTGAAAGTTACACCAAGATGGAAAAGAAAGAAGAAAAACCCAGTTCTTCTAAGGGTATAATGTTTTCACACAAGGGAGAGAAGGATGAGGAGGAGAAGAAAATCCGTGCTTGTAAGATTAAATATCGGTTTTCATTCGAGGAAGAAATATCGTGGGATGAACATCAGTTGAAGAAACCTATGAACCGTAAAGAAGAGAGATTGAGGGAGAAAAGTATTAAGCATAAAGTCATTATGCAATATGAAAAAGAATCAGAGAGCCCTCTTAAGAACAAATTGAAGAGAACTGCATCAGAGGAAATTTTTTATAATCTCTATAACAGTATAGTTGACATCCCAGAAACTTCTGGGGTGAAAAAGAGGAAAAATAATACGTCCAAAAGTAGTAGCAGTGGAGAAGAAGTTCGGGTTGTGAACAAAAGAACTAAGATCGTACCGGATTCTCCCCCTCCACTACCTGAAGAATTCAAGAATGCAATTCAAGAACTGGCCCAGGGAAGAAATATATCACAGGAGATATTGGTGGTACAGAAGGGACTCTATAAATCTGATACAGAACGGCAACAAAACCGGTTTTCGATTCCTCTAAATTCAGTTATAGGAGAGTTTCTCAAGGATGAAGAGAAAGACCATCTTTTGAAACGCCTCAATGGCAAGCTGGAGTCCATACAGGTAACCATTATTGATCCCATGCTAATAAGGGACAAAGTAAAGTTGAGGAGATGGCCGATGAAGAAGAAAAATGGGAAGGAGAGTGTATCCTACATGCTGACTGGAAGTTGGACAGAAATCCGGGAGAGGAATAAGTTCGAAATTGGGAATGTTGTGCAACTGTGGTCGGTCCGAATCGAAGAAGAATTGTTGTTCTGTCTAGTGAGGTTACCTTGAAATTAGCAGCAGCTTACTTTACAATCTTGTACAACTATTTTTTTTTTTTAATGACTTAGGTGTCCAAAGTTTCGTCCTACTAATTGTGAGGAGTAACGGCCTTCCCCACTGGTTCGCCACTCGGGTTAATCCTGATGCGATCATAGCGTATACACACTTAGACCGAACATTCGATGGTTATCCTTCCTTTGAACATCCGCCTTCCAATATTTAAATGTTGCCTTATAGCTGCAGCGGGGATTCGAACCTTTGATACTCCGTAGAGAACCCTCATGCTTTACCACTACGTCATACCCGTGATGGCAACTATTCTGGTTTTGTTTTGTGTTATCTACTTTAATTTTTTTTTTACTCAGATTTCTACCGTTTGACTGTATTATGAATTTCGTGGTGCTACTTTCTGATAATCATATAAATAATTAATATTGCATCAAAAGTAGAAATCTGTCAAAATAAATATTAACTCAAGGGGGGAAACTTGAACTTCTGAATTATAATTCTTTGTTACTGCTCAATTATAGAATACGTATGAAGCTAGAAAATTAAGCAATTAATGCTTCAAGCTGTAGTCTCTAAAGCTGGAAATTCATCTGCCTTGGGTTCTTGTCCACTCGATCCTTTAAAGAGCAAAATTGTAAGGCTGCCAATGCAAAAATAGATGAAGCAGCCACAGCAATGAGTCACGAATGAACCGAAATCAGTTCCTACTATACATTGCCATCCAGATCCATGTTGCCCGTCAAATTCCTGCAATTAACATGGCCTAGAAACCATTATATATATGATTTGTTGTGCAAAACGCGATCAATAAAATCGAAAGAAAAAAAACAAAACAATAAGATCCTGTTTGATTGTAATGAATTCCATGAAAAATGTCATATCCGAGGAAAACAAATTCCATTTTGGTCATTTAATTGCAATGTGAAATTTGAAGGTACAACTATTTTAAACTGCATTTTCTTTATTTTCATAGAAAACAAATTCATATGGATTTGATGGATTTTTATTTTCCAACTAACATGGAATTGAAATTCATTTCCACATTTGCCTATCAAATGGACCCTAAGATCAACCTCAGGAATTTAAGTGGTACGAAAATGTGCCTATATCGACTATCGTACAACACGAATAATCTACTAACTTCGAATAAGGCTATAATAGTTCGTTTGTATAGAACCCTAACCTCGAACATGGTTAAAGGTATATTTAGTATACAGTTCCGAACATTATGATAGACGAGATTAAACTTTTCCTAATGTACCTTTTTAATAAAACGGGCTATTTCAGTGGCCTCGGTGACATCAAAGAAATCAAGTGCCTTCGCTGCTATATGAAGGGCATCTTTTTGCATGGTTTCGAGCATATCGGTTTCACCAATCACGGCTTTTCCTTCCAGCATGATGGAGTAAATTTGTGGATGCAGAACAAGTTTTTCTTCTTTCTCGTCTCTGTCTGGTCAGTTTAGGGGACTATACACATATACCAGCCCTGGTGGGGTGGGTGGGGTTGACTTGCGTGGGGGCACTGGTGGCCCTGAGGATTCTCTTTATGTGGTGATCAAGAATTTACATATGATGCCGTGTAATCATCCTAGATGGTAATTCCATATAACAAACCAAGTGGATCGAATTTGGATCATACCAATTTGGCGCTAGTGGCCATGGCCCATGAGGTGGGCAGGTTTGGCAAGATAACTTCTGATCCCTCTTTGTCCACGACATTTTCCGATTCATTGTGCATAAATCAATTGGATCACGTAATCTCGCAGCCCCTTCAAGTAAAAAAGAACGACCTATTTGAAATAGCTTCTACTTCTAGTTCTTATAGACGAGCTTATTGAAAAAGTTACATTATATCAACCTTTTTGTCTAAAAACTCTTTTAATCTAGCAATATACCTCCAAAAGCGAAACAAACTCAAAAGGAACATCTTAGTCTCAATAGTAATTTTTAACTTTTTATAAGCTTTGCCAAACGTCCTCTAAGAATCTTTTCAAATAAGTATGAGGTACAACACATTCCAAATGTTCATCTTATTGTAAAAAATTATAGTATGAAAAAGGAATAAGATTTGCTACACTTACACAGGAGTTGACACTCCCCTATACGCGTCCCCCTCACAAGAGGAGGGGAGGGGGCCACAATTATTTTATTAGCTGTGGACCCCCCTCTTGTGAGGGGAGTGTACACAGGAGTGTTAACTCCCATGTACAATTAGCATTTTTCAAAAGGAATTGTCTTGGTTGATGCTCTTTGGATACGGAAAATTAAACTTAACGACATAGAAGGCACTATGTACAATCAAGAGAGTACAGTACAACCCGGAGGAGGACATTCCTGTAACTTCCATATTACCTCATAAACAAATGATTTTCTCCAATAATACTATTACTCTCTACAATTACCATAACAGGAAACAAATACATTTGCGATAGACAGTGTTGTATATCATCAAAACCCAAAAACGATTTACATCGAATCCACAGCCTCAACCTGCTGCCGAGCGAGATATTTCTCCCTTCGCTCTTTCTGAACGAGTAACCAAAGCATTATTAGAGAATAAAATGGGGATTTTTTATTTTATTTTGATAGACTATTCGATGTAAAGGTTGTAATTTGATTTATATACAAGCAACAACTACTTAGTACTTACCCATTCATCTATAACAAGACCTTCCCCAACAACCAGTGGACCTGTGTCAGCCGGTGGCTTCTTCCGTGCTTCTGTAGCAGCATCAGCTTCAGCCAATTGACGCTTCAGTTTTTCAAGTGTCTTGAATCACCAGAAAACATCAATTGAAAGAGGACAAAATTCACAGAAGAATATGGAATACAAGTGATGGGAATTGATTCTTACAGGAGTTGAGCGCTCTGGATCCAAGAAGACAACACGCAATATTCGCTCAAGAGTGACTTGATCCCTTTGCTCATCAAACTGCAGAGGGAGAGACGAAAAAATCACTAATTGAGGTCCAGATATGCTCATGTCATTCAAATCAAGCTCCAAAAAGTAACTGAAATATATACAACTCCAAGATGATGAATAGAAGGACAACATAAGTACCAGCAATTAAAAAAATTCAGGTCTGAGTAGGAGCATAAATTATATGAAAAATTCAGGAACAGAGACACATGAATGTGTTTCAGTTGAATAATGTTAATTATACATTCTCAGTCATGCAACACTACAAATAATCCAACTCATAAAAGTCAAATCAATCTGCATGCAGATCACACAATAATTTACCCTAGGTCAAAACATCATTTTCAATTGATATGAACAATTCATATACCACAGAAAACTTGCATTGTCCCATGACACATATTTAGCAATCTAGCAAGTCATTTTGCAGGTGAATTACTCGTGTAAAGTTGCATTGTCCCACACCATAGGCATTGCATTAAAAGAAAAAATCCAGTGAGTGATGCCACTACATTGCAAAAGCAGCTGAGGAGCACCATGGGGTGTGTTCAGTGCTAAATAAATAACATCATGCCCCTGTTTGGGTTGGCTAAAAATCAGATTTGAATTGATTTTCATAAAATTTGATAAAATGTGAGACTGAAAAATTGGTAAAGGCTGCGGTCCCATAAAATGTGTGGTTGAAAATGAGTTTGGAGAAAAATGAGTTATAAAAAATTGGGGCCAAACAGGAGGCATATTTAATCTGATCATGTAAGCGTTCACAACATATAAACAAGAATTTTTTGCTCCGGAAGACAGTTTCTGTACTTATCATTTGCTCTTCTTATATTTACAGTCTCCTCTTTCCATCATGCAAGAGGAAGTGGGGATAGGGGTTAATCGAGTCCAGATCGTACAAAATCACCTGCTTTCTATGGGGGAAATGCAGGTACCTCATCTTTGACATTTAAGCCCCCCAAAAAAAAAAAAGATGCGATGATAACTTCAATGCACTGGTAGTGAAGTCCAAAGCACTAACACAAACTGGGCCCTTAGGTACCGGGAATTCAATGTGATGCCATTAATGAGGTTTGAGTGTTTTGCAGCCATAATGCATTTAAATATCTATGAACTCTGCAGATATGGAATGAAAGTGAAAGGAGAATTCAACTCACAGGATGGAGAATAATGTTCAAGGCAATTGGAAAATTGTGACAGGCATTGTGCAAAGCAGCAACTCACGTAATAGTTCAACCATTAATTGCCAATCGGTAGATAAGCACAAATATCATAAGCAAAGCACTCACCAACTCTGGAACATAATCTGTTCCTTCTTTGACCTTTAGACTCATGATCTTGAATTTAACCTTGCTTTTCTGTTCCATAGACTTTTCATTGTTCTCTGGATTCTCCACAAACTTGAACACTGTCTTACAAATGCATATTCATAATAAGATGGCTTCAAACAAACTAAAATTATGCATAAAGAAGTATTTTAACCTCGGTGCGTGTATACACCCCTTTAAATTAAGTTTTTAAAACGGTCTACCATTTAAAGAGGCTAATTACCAGTAGCAACGAGACTTTCTCCAGGAGCAAGAATACCTCCAGGGGGACGCATGTAACAACTCTTTGGCGCGGTAGTTTGAAACTATAAACCAAAACAGAAAAATAAAAACAGGTGGGATCAGCAACTTCACCACACTGCTTTTCCACTTACATTGCGAGATTGCCAATATATATACTTGTCTAATGATCAAACAGGGTTAAAGCACGCATCAATCGATCAGTTCTATAGGACAACATCATTTTTTATTTTAGTATATTATAATGGAAAATGCTAATATTGTATAAAACAATAATTTGTTGTACAATAATATAAATGCATTGCAGTAACTGAAGAAAACATTGTGCTGCTGTATATCAAATAATTAATTAACAAAAAAAAAAAAAAACATGAGTATTGAACATGCAATGGCATGGAGAAGATTCCTAAAAGAAAGAAAGAAATAGGGCTGCATAAACCGATTACTTTAAATGCAATGTGAGACTTGCTGGAATTCTTAATCCTGATAGCACTCATCGCCTGCTTTCCCGGTTCATCTGGAAATATATACACGCACATAAAAGCACAAACAACCAGTCAATCAGCACTTGAAATATATAAAAACTTCAAATACTACAGATACGGTAAATTTCCAATTTATTTCGGTTTTCAAAGAACTGTTTCCAATCCTAACGAACAAAATGAGTAATGAAAATTAAAGAATAATCGCTGGGATTTAAAAATAACAAGAGCCAGCTGTAACGCACAGGGGAAGTATAGATTGCTTGAAGGATCGAGGCGAAGTCTTCGTCTAGCTGGAAGAATCGATCTGGCAACGGAAGAGACGGTGGAGGAGGAGGACCGGCTGCTGGAGCCGACGCCGCCGTTTTGGTAGTTGTGATTTTGAGAGTTATTATGAAGATTCTGAGTAGAGGAAGAAGAAGAAGAGACCGTCGCTGACTGCCAAAACCCGCATAGTCTCCACTTTTGGTGGCGATGGTGACTGTCGGCAATCGCCATGTTCATTGGAATCTGACGCAATTCTCCGATTGGAACTCTTTTCTTCCTTTTCAGCTTATTATATGCAATCAGTTGCATTGACTGTAGGTTATGATTTGAGTTTGTAAAAAGTCAGACGAGAAGATTATTTATATACCTTTTATGGATTTTAATAATTAAAAAAAAAAAATTAGTTCGCGGGAGGAGGAGATAAGTTTCTGAAGTGGGAGAAGAGGTAAGTGAAGATGAAGCAGCGGACTTCAATTGAAGGTTGAAAATGGATTGATTTATATTTGACGTCCGTTCACACGCTTTCTGTTTACAGATGATCCAACTCATCATCATGCAATTCTTCCGGCTTGCGGTGGTTGTACTTTTGTTTAGAATAATATTATTTATGATTATGATTATAATTATGGAATATCGAAGACGTAATAGTTTACAAGTAAATTTGGACTCCTAATCTTTCATGTGGTTTGATTATGGTTTTTGAAAATTTAAAAATGAGATTTTAGTCCTCAATCCTTTTGATTATGTAAATTTGGACCCCACATGACGAAAATTATCAATTTCGATGTTAAAATTGTACGCAAGTTTCAGTTAAATTAGAGATAAATGTAAAAATTGTACTTCTTGAAAACAATCCATTGAGTTTCTTGAAAACTTTGTTCAACACAAATTAATACATAGGATATGGAAGACTAAAGATATGTAGCAATTCAGTTTCATTTACATGAATAAGTTTTTTTTTAAATGGAGAACCGTTAAATATTGCACTAGTAATTTACAGAATTACTAGTGGAGTTGGGATTTGAGTGGTAGCACTGGGTTTTTAGACTGAAGGTTGTCGTGGTTAGTTGTTAATGTATATTGTTTTCAATAACGAATTTTAGGATTTGAATACGGTGTTTTTGATAAATAGTTTTGAAGTGGTGCCCTTGGGTTGTGACTTTGTGACTTAATTCAGAACCTATTGTGGTGCTTCTGATCAGAGGTGATGGGATGATTACTCATTCATAGATAAGCTTAGTGGTTTTTTTTGTGACAGTCGCAGTAACAGTAGTGTTGGTGTTAATTGATTTTAAAATTTGGCTAAAATATATAAAAAGGGTATTTTCGTCAATTTCCATTAACATTGGGCATAATTGCAAATGTTTTTTTTTTTTTTTTAATTGGAAAATTTTCAAAATTCACATTTAAATATGACCACATTTTCAATTTCCCAGAAGAAATGCGTCAACTAAAATTCCTTTCAACTTGTTAAAGAGTGTCATGCGATTTAATAATATGACATTAATACAGCAGCAATGTCTGGGTGGCGAGAACTGAACGGGAGGAAATATGACCAATAAGGTAGCGAGTTGACTTTACGCGCAGGCATTAGTACGTGGAAGAGGAGAGCATATAATTGTTGGTTGTTATATTCAATAATTGTAGGATTAAATGGGAAGGAGCTGTAAAAGTTTGTTGGTTTAGGTTCGTTGGAAGGTAGGAATTAATTAGGTGATTAATGACAATATCCAGGTGAATTTTATTAAATATTCCATTAAAATATACTACGTTATTTTACAATACAATAAAATAAATTAGATTTCAATTTTTTTTCTTCCCCTTTCTAAATAAGAATATTATGGACCGTTCTATTTTTATTTCAGTTTTGTATTTTGAATTCATTTTGAATTTTGTGTTTTGAGTGTCCATTTTGAGATTGTTGAAAATATGTTATTTTTGGCATTTTGAAAAATTGTTTTGAAAACACTTAAAACGCGTTGAAAACACCCAAAACGACAAATTTGTCATTTTCAGTTTTCTTTGTAAATTTTTAACTTGTTTTCAAAAATAGGAAAGAGAACGTATTTTCACCGTTTTGAAAAGTCGAAAACAGAAAACGACATGAAAATGATAAAGAGAACGTGCCCTTAATTTTTCCGAATTTCCATTTTCAATACAACTAGCTAAACAAGTGAGTCGTGTACTTGTAACAAATATTATTTAAACAAATACGTATATAAAATACATCGTCACAAATAACTTTACACGAAGGTAATAAATAATATTTTTTTAATTGACATTGAGGAGCGTGAGACGGTTTAGAAGAAAAATAATGTTTTAAATTACGTTGATTGACGTTAAAATTTGTTCTTCAATCACAATATTTAAAGCAATATGTTTAGTTTTTCATGATCGAAGCAAGCAAATCGATATGAAGGCCATATTTGGTCCATATTATTTTTTTCATTCTCATTGTTCTACTCATTTTCAACAACACATTCTTCAATAAAATAATATTTTCCACACATCAATAATTTTTCCTTTTTTTTCAACCACGTATTCTCTATCACATCAACAATAAAAATGCATTCTTACCTTCAAAATGTGCACCAAACGGGGGCGAAGTATCATTTCGTTCAAGAAGTACGTGATATTAGTTGATATTATCAATAATTGAAAAGGATGCACTACATCATTAAATACCTTGTCAACAAGAGAAATTGACAAGGCACCTACAATTGCAATGGTACCACAATAATGACTAGATCTTGCATTAGGTGTCTATGCTGGAAATATCAAGGATGCCTGTGTAAAGATTGATAGCATTCTTAAATTATGGGCAATAACAATTGATATTCACTTTATGGATGCACCTAACTTAATCATTAATCATTGTCTATTTTTATTGCACTTATTAACCTTTATTTTTACTTTTCAAGAGAGATTTTTCGAACTAACCATAAAATAGTAAAATCGAGACTACGGGTGTGTTTGATCCACATTATTTTGGAAGAATGTATTTTGGAATAGTAGATTAATAGAGAATATATGGTTGAAAATGAATGAAAAGTTATTGATGTGATGGAAATTATTATTTTATTGAAAGATGTGAGGTTGAAAATGAGTAAAAGAATGAGAATGAAAATTTTAATGTGTACCACACAGGGACTACATAAATAAATAAATTATACTACAGCTAATTTCTGCTACAGGACCATTTTAGCATAGTTTTCAAACTCTAGTACTAATAGGTGAAGAGGTGGATTACTAGGTTAGTGGTTCATGGGTGGTCAATTCCAATCAAATATATAAAAAAATATGTTTAGGTTACCACCACTATCACAACAAAGTAATTCATTAATTGTTAGAGAATGAAGCTAAAGTATATGATTGGTAGACTTGGTGGGCGCTGATGTAAGATTGTCCATATGTCACTTATTGATTGACTGTTTGTACAATGTGTCAGAAATCAATAATCATTATGTTCATTCAAACCTCAATAAATATCTCAATCTGAACTAACCTTAAATATCCGACCTCATATTAGCATAAGTTTATCGAATATAACAAACTTTACTTATCGACCTTGGAGGTTGGATGCCAACACACACTATAGTTTTTAATAACTAAACTACATTTTTATTGTACAAAATGTTCATAATATTTAAACATTATTGCATTTATATCTCAAACTATTTTTTATCATATTCTTATTATCGAATTAACATAATGATTTTTTATTATGGTTTCTCTCCAAATTTTTCTTTAAAATAGAGAAAACAAAGCACTCATTCGACTGTATTTTTAAATAAGCAAAATAAATAATAATGCAAAAATACATTTAAATACTTGACCCTCATTTTAAAGTACATTAACAATATTTTTGGATGAAATTCATGATTAGGGACAAGATTTTCGGATCAATAAAATGTTAAAAATAAGAACATCATGAGAAAAAAGTTAATGAAATAATTGTAATAATGAATAAAAGTTAATAACCTTTAATGCAATTAAAGTATTATGTATTTTGATGTGAATATAACCACCCTTATTTTTATTATATTATAAATTTGTGATAGTTATTATCATTAGCTAATATATATATATATAGGGAAATGCCGGATGAACCGAATGGGGGGTACCGAATGGTGTACCCCACTCACAATGTGTGTGGGGCTCGTGTGTGTTTAAAAATGGAGGCTCGTGTTTCATACATCTCAGTTAACGTTTGTTCCAAATTCCTATAAGTAATAGGCATATTAAAAGTTAAAGCATTTGAAATTTGGTCAATTATAAATTTAGTACCCGATAAATTATATCGGGGGTCCATGACGCATGCTAAAAGAAATAACATAGGCAAGTCTTCCAAATATTTCCTAAATTTTAAGCCCCTGTTTGGCACCCATTTTTTTCATCATTCTCATTCTCTTTTTTATTTCAACCACACAATCTCCAAATAAAATAATATTACACACAAATCTAAAACTTTTCATCAATTTTCCACCACACATTCTTCCATCAATCACTATTTCAAAATTTTTCAACCCATTAAAATGTGTGTCAAACACTAAGTCCATAGAATATATAATTTCACTAAAATCGGGGTCATTTTTGTATTTATGAAAAGCACTTGCAATTATATTAGAAGTTCAAGTACCATACAACTAGTGGAATAGTACACTCCAGTTAAAATATTTGTAGAGTCATAAAAACTTATCAAAAAAATTTTAATTTTAAAAGTTAAAAGTCAATCAGATTCATTCAAAATAGTGTCATCATCGTTTCTAATATGTCTATTGTTATAAAATTCAATTATTAAATATTCAAATCATTCGCATGATTTTAATAATAAGTAAGTAGAGTTTCATCTATATCATACGTTACTAACAAATGTTTTCATATTCGTCACCCTAAATTCAACACAAAATTTCCCAAATGATTGTTTTCTCACTAGATGAAATCGTGATGTATATTAGTGCATCCCTAATTTTTTGAATTTCATTTTTTATATGTTCCAAACCACTCTACACAATTAAATTGAAAATATGACACATACAACGAATATGAAAAAAATAACCACCAAAATTGAATTGTAGTACCCTATACAATTTATTGATAACTGGCTTATTAACACTAGAGTTGTCAAATATAAATGAATGAATTTTACTCTCGCGGTAATATTCTCTAATAATGCTCATAATAGCGTTATATATGTTGTTAGCGATGTGAGGGAATTCAATAATTTTAAAAGCAATATTTTTTTATGCATACACCAAAGTGGGTTTATGTAGTATGCAATTGTAACTATATAAATTCTTTATTTATTC